CACTGTCCACGGCTATAGTGCCAGAAGATTGGAGAGAGGTAAACATCATTCCCTTGTTCAAAAAAGGGAATAGGGATAACCCCGGAAATTACAGGCCAGTTAGTCTTACGTCAGTGGTGGGCAAATTATTGGAAAGGGCTCTGAGAGATAGGATTTATGGTCAGTTGGAAAGGCACAGTTTGATTCGCAATAGTCAGCATGGATTTGTGAGGGGTAGATCATGCCTCACAAACCTTATTGAATTCTTTGAAGAGGTGACAAAACACGTGGATGAAGGTAGAGCAGTGGATGTGGTATACATGGATTTAAGTAAGGCGTTTGATAAGGTTTCCCATGGTAGGCTCATGCAGAAGGTAAGGAGGCATGGGATAGGGGGAAATGTGGCAGATTGGATTCAGAATTGGCTAACCCTTAGAAGACAAAGGGTGGTAGTGGATGGAAAATATTCAACATGGTGCTCAGTTACAAGTGGTGTACCACAAGGATCTGTTCTTGGTCCTCTTCTATTTGTGATTTTTGTAAATGATTTGGATGAAGAAGTGGAAGGGTGGATTAGCAAGTTCGCGGATGATACGAAGGTGGGTCGTGTTGTGGACAGTGCAGAGGGCTGTTCTAGGTTACAAAGGGACATTGATAGGATGCAGAGCTGCGCTGAGAAGTGGCAGATGGAGTTTAACCTTGAGAAGTGTGAGATGATTCATTTTGGAAGGACAAACTTGAAAGCAGAATACAGGGTTAACGGAAAGATTCTTGGGAAGTGTGGAGGAGCAGAGGGATCTTGGGGTTCATGTTCACAGTTCCCTGAAAGCTGCCACCCAGGTGGATAGAGTTGTTAAGAAGGCATATGGTGTGTTAGCTTTCATTAATAGAGGGATTGAGTTCAAGAGCCATGAAGTTATGCTCCACCTATACAAAAGCCTCGTTTGGCCACATCTGGAGTATTGTGTCCAGTTCTGGTCGCCTCATTACAGGAAAGATGTGGAAACGTTGGAAAAGGTGCAGAGGAGATTTAACAGGATGTTGCCTGGAATGGAGGGAAGGTCTTATGAAGAAAGGTTGAGAGAGCTAGGGCTTTTCTCTTTAGAACAACAAAGGATGAGAGGTGACTTGATAGAGGTGTACAAAATGATCAGAAGTATAGGTAGAGTAGACAACCAGAGACTTTTTCCTAGGGTGGAGGTAGCTATTAGGAGGGGATATTTTAAAGCGAGTGGAGGTAGATATAGGGGAGACATCAGAGGTAGTTTCTTTACTCAGAGAGTTGTCAGGGCATGGAATGCATTGCCGGAGAGGGTAGTGGAGTCGGCCTCATAAGGGGCATTTAAGTGGCTATTAGATAGGCAAATGGATAATAGTATAAGGTAGGGGTGGAGGTTAGATAGACATTAGGATTAGGGTAAAAGTTCGGCACAACATCGTGGGCCGAAGGGCCTGTACTGTGCTGTACTGTTCTACGTTCTAAGAAGGCAGCGCACAACCACCTTGTTGACAGCAAGTAGGAATGGGCTATAAATGTTGGCCCAGCCAGCATCACCCATACCCCATAAATGAATTTTTTAACCTAGCATTGAACCTGTTCTAGATTGATTAAATAAATCTGTCTTAATCTACGCAGTAAGACATTCAATATGAAATGAGAAGTTTCAAACCATTTTGTTTGCACAGGGCATAAGACTTCTCACAAATCATCATGAATTTGATAATATATAAGGCTGAATCATATGTAATTCCAAAACTCATTATCAGTCTTGCTGTGATATGTGATGAAGGGGTGATATTATTTCATTCAATATGAGTGAAAGCATGCTTGTTTATGTTTCATATTACGCTAATGTACCTGATGTTTATAAACCACCTTTCAAAGGTAAACCTTCATGTGACTTAATTAGTAGCTCAGTAATTATTGCAAAATCTATGGGCCCTGACACTATTCCAGCAATAGTGCTGAAGACTTGTGCTCCAGAATTAGCCACACCCCTCAAGAAGCAGTTTCAGTAAAGATGCTGGCATCTACTAACAATGTGGAAGATTGCCCAGGTATGTCTTATGGACAAAAAGCAGGAAAAATCTAACCAGCCGTTCAGTTACACAACCCTACAATTTACTCCAACTCAGTTATCCAATTACAGTCGATATAATTACAGTAAACCATGTTTGGTAATGCTGTGGTTTCTGGGTAAAATACCACTGCCAGTGTGATACTGTCTGAGTTGTCCCTATATGTTAGCCTTAGCAACGTAAACTATAAAGTCTGGGCTCTTGTTGCAACTGATGTCTTGAAGTTTAGCTAACTATTTACACAGCTTTCATATCAGACTTATTCATAGTCTGGGTTCTGTATTCAGTGAATACAATTACAACTGTTACGACTGTAATTGCTACTACTGAAGGTATATTCCTTTATACTGGAATATCACATGTCTTGATGATATCTAATCATCTTGAATCTAATCAGACTGCTTGTCTGGTCTGGCATCTATACAATAACACATCCCCCTTTATACCTTAACAATTCTTTTCCGTTAAACTTTTACAAGGATGCACCGAGATATATTGTCACTACGCATTAAGATAATGCCTTGGTAGATGTATAACACAATCATACTTAGTTTTTATATAGTTATTACAACTTGGCTGTGTAGCTTCACTCTGTGGTGTTGGCTCTTGTTGCGGATAGATGCGTATCATTTATCGTAGATATGTGGTTTTTCTCTGACACTAATGTAACACTTTCAATATCAATTTGTCATCCTGTGTGAAGGGTGATTGATCGCATGCTATTTGGATATGATACTTATTTCTTCATAGGACTTGAACATTTCTCATTACAACATCACATGATCTAGGTTAGACATGTCATTGCAGTATGCTTCCATGAATCCATGTGTTTATAGGATAATATTGAACTCTTATACTTTGTCCTGGTTGGGTTGGGATGACTCTCTGCATGCTCATCGATCACGCTCTTGTCTCATTGTCTTCCTCCTTTCTAAAAATGTGTCATGGGCCTGTGTTTGGGTGATGAGAGTGCAAGAGAGAAGAACAGTATGATCTACCTTCCAAATGTGAGAGCTGCTAGTGAGCATAAATTGTTGCCAAAAGGAGTAGTACATAGATTTAACATAGCTATCCAAAAGTCTTGACAAGTGACTTGACACTTGACTATCATGGATTTTACAGTACAAACAGTGTGTCCTGTGAAACTAATACAGTGAGGATAGTGAGTTGAATAGGTATTATGGGGATACCGTAGCTCCTGCGCATGCCATAATAGTACACTGCAGGTTGTTGTCAGACACAATTTGTTAAGCAACACTGAACAGACTGAATGTTAAATTGCCAACAGCCATTGTACTTACATTATTGATTTGTCAGACAAAAGGGAATTCAGTGAAGTAGTCAGTCGTCAGTACATCTGTGGACTTGGAAAATTGGAGCAGCAATCTTGCCACTGTAGTTGGTGGAGTGTAGAGATACACTTACATAAGGCTTTTGGAAGATCATTTCCAATGGCTTATTGTTGGTTTGAAAGATGAAATGGTTTGAAGTATTTATCTGTAAAACCAATGTGATTCAAAAATTTGAGCAAGAGATTCTCTTTGTTATGGACCAGACCAAATCCCCCTCAAAATGTATCAAGGAGATAGCCTAGATGCTAACTTTTATTTAAAGGCAAGTGTAAAGTACTGTGTCCCAGATGTGATTTGATTGGTCACACTTTATTCTTACATCACAGATGAAATACAAACAATAAGAGAAGAGTTGGCATAACTTTAACTCTCTCAAAGTACTTGACAAAATGATACATTATTTTACCACTCCTCATCAACTGTTAATATAGTAGCATCCCATTAACACACGCTTGGCAAAGACAAGTTCAGCAACACAGATTTACCCACTTGCTATCTCCTCCAGTCCAGGAGAAGGAAAAAAACTGAAAGAATGAATCTAGCAGCAGAAAGAGAATTGTATCTAGTGGCTTCAAATTAAAAAAAAACCCAACTTCAACAACTGGAAGCAAAAACTAAAATCCTGCGTCTATGTGAGCCTGAGTTCAACCACATATGCATCTTTTGTCTAATGTAAAAAAAACCTGAAATTTATTTACACTGCTTGCCATGGAACAGATGACTTGGCACCAGGTTCAAAAGAAACAGAACAGAACAAATACTTCTAAAAGGTATTTATTGTCACATCTTTCAATGGAGTAGTTGGAGTAGTTTGCCTGAGCTGTCACAAGAACTTAGAACCAAATTCAGTGGTCTTGTCATCCTATAATAAACATGCTCTGAGGCCTTTCTGTCATATATCTGCTTCCATATGGAAATCCTTGAGGAATTATAATATTACAGTACAGTTGTTTCTGCTATAATGCGTGTTCTGGCAATGCGAATTGGCTGTAACCCGACTGACAAATAGGGGAACGCTATTTCTAAAACATGAATGAGT